AATAGAGAGAGGAGGGATGGGGCTGGGGAAGGTGGGTGGGATGGTGATAGGAGAGTGCAGGTAGGCAGTGGTGGGGATTGGTCAGTGTGGTAGGACGAGCAGATAGGTGGGAGAGAAGATGGACAGGTTGTCGGGTCGAGGAGGAGGGGATGAGATGGAGGGTTGGACATGGGATGAGGCCAGGGCATAGGGGGATTTTAAAACTGGTGAAATCCATGTTTAGGCCATAGGGCTGTAGGCTCCCGAGGCGGATTATGAGGTGTTATTCATATAGTCTTGACTTCAGAATGCCTGCTGTGTACTAATGCAGCTCATATGGCAACAAGAAGTTGATTGGTCTGTGGACCAGTGACAGTTATTAATGATAGAGACCTTTTGCTTGCCAACAACGATGTGATTTGTTCCTGGGTGGCTGAGATACTTGGAGCTGGAGACAAGTCACAGAGACAGAGAGAGAGAGACGGTTTGCAGATCTTCTCCCAGCCCAGAAGCAGTCAGTTTACACCTGAAGAAAACCAACTCCTCTTTCCGCAACAATTGCTCTAAGCTGTCACTTTTGAATTGATAGATCAAAGGTATATTCTCAATGAACTAGTTACTCTCTACTTCTTACAAACCAGTTAAAGCTTCCAGAGAAAGACGTCTGAGTAACACTGGGGTCAGCCAAAGGATGATCATCTGATCATTGGAACCAGGAAGCACGAACACCGAACAGACTTTCCAGTTTCACTGCCTCTGCCAAAAATCTGTTTTCCGTATTTGTGCGTGTGCCCACGAGTGTGAGATGGCGTATGTCGCAGTTGGTGGTAACAAGCAGGACTCTCAGGAAAGTTCCCTCCTGACTATGTGCTACTGTGTGGGGTCTGTCCTGTGGTGGGAAAAGGTATGCCCAGGAATGGTGAGGGTAGTGTTTGTGATGTTGCCTGTAAGGTATGATTTTGGGTGAATGTGATTCCATGTTACTTGATTAGTCTATAGGACACCTATCCCAATTTTGGCAGCAATACCCAAATATTAGTTACTCATTTCAACAGAGGTGTAGAGAGGAGCACAGAGAGCTCATTCGAAGACAGATTGGCAGTAAAGGAGTTCAGCAGCATATTTAACCCCCTGCCCACAATGTGATTCCCCCAGTCTTTGACCCTCATTGAGGTGGACCTTGAGTTGCTTGGACCAAACCTAGTCCTACTGTGCTGACAAAACCATGCCTGTTATTGGCACTGGGCATTTGGTGGATCTCTAAGGTAGGAACTTAGTGAGTATCTCTGAAAAACAGAAGAAACAGTCACAGAAAATAAACTGTGTTTGAAAAAAAAAGGTAGATATGTAAATAGGGGATATGACAAATAAATGCATTGGTTCAGAGGGCGCAGTTAGACCTATGGCAGCATGACATCATTGCTATACCAGAAACATCACAGAGACGGGAAGATTTGGCAGCTCAACATCCCTGGATAAAGAGATTTTAGGAGTTGAGAAGATGCGAGTAATAAAGGCAGTTACTCGAAAGAACCAATGAGAATTGGAGAGGAGGAGGAATTAAACACTAAAGGAGGCCATTATTGGAGGCCATCAGAAGCAAAAATCTAGCAGCATGACTACACCTGTGTACTATAGACAGCCAAATAATGGGAGAATGTTAGAGGAGCAAGCATGTAGGGAATTCTAAGTGTACAAATACAATAGGACAGCAATAGTTGGGGATTTCAATTTCCCAAATAGGGGATACAAAGTGTGTGAAAGGCAAAGGTCAATTTTCTTCTTTGTATTCAAGATTTTTTTTTAAAGCCAGCATATTATAGTTCCAATAAAAAAGCACAATTCTAGATTTAGTCTTAGAACATGAGTTTGGGATAGGTGGATGAATTAGAAATTAGTGACCATCTTAAAGACAGTTCATAATACAGTAACAGTTAGAACAGGAATAAACAGCCTAAGCTGAGGGAAGGCAAACTTTACAAAGCCGAGAGATAAGGCAAAGTAAAATGGTTACAGCTATGTGAAGGAAAGTCAGTGACAAATCGCTAGGAGGCATTTAGAAATCAGATTCCACAGGTAGATATGCTTCCATAGAAAAGGGGTGGCGCTGCCAAATCCAGGGACCCCAATTATCCAGAATCATTCAGGGTAAGTAATAACAAAAATAGAACTCAGGACAATCTCCAAACAGCAATACTTTAGGAAGTTTAGTGGATTATAGAAAGTGTATCAGTGACATGAAAAGTCAATTAGGAAAGCAAAGAGAATAGGAAAAATTTGGCAGGTAAAAATCAAAGAATATTAATTACTTTAACAATATATTAACAAGTGATGATTGAGGAAAGCGTAGAGCATATCTGATGTGCATGGTAAAGTGGGTATGGGTGAAGATGTAGGCTGGTTCCTGAATTAATATGTTCTGTCTTCAAAGGAAACCAATGATATGGACCTTCTAGACACAATAAATGCTAGTTAAAGAACAATATTAAATATTAGATACAATAAGTATAAGTCTTGGAGTTACTGATCTCATTATAGATGGATATATCACCATATCCTTAGATGTTAAAGGAATCGGGGAGGAAACAGCAGATGCTCTGGGGATCAGTTTTATTCTTCACTCAATACAGGCAAGAATTAGAAGATTGAGGGACTGCCCTCATTGTTTGATGATTCAAAAAGGTGAGGGGGGGGAAATAGGTCAAATAATTATAGGCCGGTCAGTCTGACCTTGGTAGAGGACAAACTACTAGCATCGACATTGAAAGATAGGATTGACTGTTACCAGATACAAATGAATCTGAGATAGCCAGCCTGATAGTCAACTGAGGGAAGGTCATTTTTTACTAGCAATTTTATTTTGCAGAAAAAACAAGTAGCACTGATAAGAGTAGCACAGTAGATGTTGTCTACATGGATTTTAGTAAGTAAGTTGTCAAGGCTCTGTATGACAGGCTGGTTAGGAACAAAGAAGAGGGGTATGGCAAATTAGCTCCAAAATTAGCCCAGTAACAGGAAAGGACAATGCTCAATGAATATGTTTGCAAATGGAAAATGTTTTTTTCGTGGGTTCATTGTTGGAAACTTGGCAGCTGACCGAAATGGCTAGGTGGCTGATAATGAGGATGGCAGTCAACTACAAAACACCGCCACTTGGCATTCAATCTGACAAAACACACACACACGCACACGCACACGCACACACACAGTGTAAGGGAATACACAATAACCAGGAGACAGTCTGTAAAGAGGAAATGAGACAAGTTGAAGTGCATGTACACAAAGTCCTGATGTTGAAGGACAGGTAGCTATTTGCGGGTGGGGTTGGGTGTGCAAAGGGAGGGCTTCTTAAGTAGGACTGAAAGACAATGTTCTACATAACCCACAAAGACATTCATTAACTAAGAGCCTTTATCTTGAGGCTGAGAGATGAGACTGAAAAGAAGTTCAACGAGAAAACAAGTTCAGCCAGAGGGAACAGAGATGGTGGATGGAAAACGATTGCACCCCAGAGAGTCCTCAGACTGTCCGTGTGGAAGATGGTGATGGAGAGAGGGAGAGGAGATAGTTTCCAATTCCTTGGTCCTAACTTCACCATAGGCGAAGAAAGGAATAATTTGATTAGGGATAGTCAACACGGTTTTGTGAAGGGTAGGTCGTGCCTCACAAACCTTATTGAGTTCTTCGAGAAGGTGACCAAACAGGTGGATGAGGGTAAAGCAGTTGATGTGGTGTATATGGATTTCAGTAAAGCGTTTGATAAGGTTCCCCATGGTAGGCTATTGCAGAAAATACGAAGGCATGGGATTGAGGGTGATTTAGCGGTTTGGATCAGAAATTGGCTAGCTGTAAGAAGACAGAGGGTGGTGGTTGATGGGAAATGTTCATCCTGGAGTTCAGTTACTAGTGGTGTAGCTCAAGGATCTGTTTTGGGGCCACTGCTGTTTGTCATTTTTATAAATGACCTGGATGAGGGCGTAGAAGGATGGGTTTGTAAATTTGCGGATGACACCAAAGTTGGTGGAGTTGTGGATAGTGTGGAAGGATGTTGCAGGTTACAGAGGGACATAGATAAGCTGCAGAGCTGGGCTGAGAGGTGGCAAATGGAGTTTAATGCGGAAAAGTGTGAGGTGATTCACTTTGGAAAGAGTAACAGGAATACAGAGTACTGGGCTAATGGTAAGATTCTTGGTAGTGTGGATGAGCAGAAAGATCTCGGTGTCCATGTGCATAGATCACTGAAAGTTGCCACCCAGGTTGATAGCGTTGTTAAGAAGGCGTTCAGTATGCTAGGTTTTATTGGTAGAGGGATGGAGTTTCGGAGACGTGAGGTCATGTTGCAGCTGTACAAAACTCTGGTGCGGCCGCACTTGGAGTATTGCGTACAGTTCTGGTCACCGCATTATAGAAAGGATGTGGAAGCATTGGAAAGGGTGCAGAAGAGATTTACCAGGATGTTGCCCGGTATGGAGGGAAGGTCTTATGAGGAAAGGCTGAGAGTCTTGAGGCTGTTTTCGTTAGAGAGAAGAAGGTTAAGAGGTGACTTGATAGAGACATACAAGATGATCAGAGGATTAGATAGGGTGGACAGTGGGAGCCTTTTTCCTCGGATGGTAATGGCTAGCACGAGGGGACATAGCTTTAAATTAAGGGGTGATAGATATAGGACAGATGTCAGAGGTAGGTTCTTTACTCAGAGAGTAGTAAGGGCGTGGAATGCCCTGCCTGCAAAAATAGTAGACTCGCCCACTTTAAGGGCATTTAAATGGTCATTGGATAAACATATGGATGATAATGGAATAGTTTAGGTTAGATGGGCTTCAGATTGGTTTCACAGGCCGGCGCAACATCGAGGGCCGAAGGGCCTGTACTGCGCTGAAATGTTCTATGTTCTATGTTCTATGTTCTATAGGCATCCATGGGGAACAGACTCTCCATCCATTGTCACCTACTCTGCCGCCCAAAGCAGGCATGTGGAATAAAATCAGAAAGTGCTCAAAAGTGCTGATTTCAGGTTTCCTTCATTGAATGAATTGAGCAATTAGAATAAAAGGACATTTCAGCACAATCTTAAACTGCTGCCTGAATTTAGTCTGGGTCACTGCATAAATGCAAGTATTAGTGCAACAACTGAGGAGCTGCAGCGTGAAACCCAACTCCTGTACAAAAGCGTGTATAAATACAGACCGATAGCCTAATAACCACATCCGCCTACACAAGGAATACACCATTAACATTACCCACAACAGGATGAAATTTGCTGAGATGACAAACAGTAAAATGATAGATTTCCGACGATTCTCCATCTCCGCGTCTCTACGAGTCTCCCCACTGCTGCCAGCCCAGAGTCTCTTGCGGGCTCTGCTGCTCACTAAAATGTGTCTGATAGTGCAAGCGTTAAGCAATAGAATAAGAGAAAATGGGATGACTGGGGTTAGAATGTGATGGAGGAACTCGATTGTTACCCAGATGCGAGAGAACAGAGTCATGATTGACACATCGCAAAACCATGGATCATTCCTCATCGAATACCGAGCAGTGAGCATAAAATACCAGAAAACGTTCTTCAGACAGCTCAGCGCAGTCACTGTTCCCAGAACCATAGCTGCCATTTTCTCGCTACAATATTTAGTTTTCAGCTTCTGGCAACAAATGGCCACAAAGCGATCAAAAGTGAAAGCGATGGTGAACCAGACAGAACAGTCAGTGGCTGTAAAAATCAGGATGGCATGGATATTACACACGTGGATGGACTCCAGGAAAAGAAACTGTTCGTTATAAACAATTGGAATGTGCCTCAGTATCAGGTCAAGAATGACAACCAGTAGATCTGCCACTGCCATAGCCACCAGGTAGCAGGTGACACATTTAGAGAGACCACACTTCCCTCGAGACAATATCACAATTGTCACCACATTAACTGTGAGGAAGAGAACAAATCAAGAAATTGTATATTTGGCTAGAAGCAAAATTTCCAGTTTTACTGAGGACTTTGAGAATTATCATATTTGTTTCTCTATGTAGTGATCTAAGGAAATGCTTGTACCTGTGACATAGCTCTCTTTTGGAGATTGGGGTAACTTATCATTGGAAATAATGCAATGGGCCTAAGTTGGGTCCAATGGAGTCTATGTATATGTTACCGGGACTGAAAAGTCATTACTGAGCTGACAGTTTTGATCCAGTAGAGAGAAATGTGAAGGTGTAAACAATAACAGTAGGCCAGAGATCACCAGTAATGGAGTAAAAGAGGTGGCCGAATAAGCCAGAGATCAGCAGTGAAGTACAATCTAGAAGGTTAAAGAACATCAGCAGAAAAGTTAATTTGTGTCAGAACATACGACTGACAGAGCATGGGTAGCACAGAGGAATAGAGTGATCTCCAGGCGATTGAGCACAGATCCCTGAAGGTGGCAGGATAGGTTAAGAGGATAGTTAAGGTGACATCACACACAACAAGAGCAGGAGCTGTATAGGACTTGGGTTATGCAGGTTTAGAGTTCAGTTCCGGTCTCTATATGATAGGCAGGATGTAATTGCACTGGAGGGGGTACAGAAGAGTTTCACCGGAATGTTGCCTGGGATGAAACAGTTTAACTGTGAAGAGAGGCGGGATAAGCTAATTTTCTTTGTTGCAGGGGAGGCTGAAGGGGGAACCTGATAGAGAGATGCAAGACTGAGGGGCAGGGTCAGGGTGAATAAAAAGCAGTTCCCTTTAGCCAAAGGGTTAACAAGGGGGCATAACTTTACAAAGTGAAAAGGTCAGAAGTAGAGAAGATTTGGGAAAACATTTAACACGGAGGGTGGTGAGGATTTTTAATGCACTTCCTGGGAGGTTAGTGGAGGCCAGGAACCTCAATTTGTAAGAAGTACTTGAAATAGAATAACATTTAAAGCTTGGGCCTGACACTAAATCTTCACGAGGTCCAATTTCCAGAGGTATAGACTTGATGGATCAAATGACCTCTCTCTGTATGATGCTAAGAAAGTATTATTCATATACTTAAAATATTCATGTTTTCATAAGAACAAAAGATGCCTCCATTCATAAACATTTAATTAGTTCTTAGGGTAAGCATTTTTCTTCACCTAGAGAGTGACAAATGGTAGCTCAAATATCCCCTAATTCTAGAAATCTCTTCTTTCCAAGATCTCTTTCAGAATACGAAGGTCAATTATCAATTATCAACTATCTCTGCTGCACTCTTTATTAAAAGGAATGTTAGGATAATTATTCACAATCTTCAATCAGCACATATTTCCCATACCATCCTTGTATGAAGTTTCCTTCAAATTATTAGACAAGCACACTCCATATTTATTACTTCAATGTATTTCAGTAGCCTAGATACTTTTAAATAACCTATGTAATTTTTGTCTGGCTCCCCTGCTCAATGGACAATAGTTATCATTCTTTTCAGGCAAAGATGTTATGAACCATGTCATACAAAAATATCCATCTGGAAAATCTTCTTGTGAAGCATCATTAAAAACGACTAAATGCATCTTCCAAAGCACCCAAGGCTGAAACTTTTAAAGAAATTGCAGTCAATTTCTGGAATGTAAATGTAATGTAAATGTTTCATTTGATCTCAACAGCTCAACCATAGCATGCTACTTCATTCCAACAGGTCATAACTGAACATTATACTTCCATCCCTGGCCTGTTCATGGGTTTTTGTTAAACTGCAACCTGAATTCAACTCCCATCTTCTTCTGGACTGCAAGATTAGCCCCTCCCATGATCAGAGTTTCTGGCTTTCAACGTCTTTTCTCTCATTTTGCTAATCCTTGAATTTTACCTTCTGTCCCTGATCAGTACATGTTCTAGATGGTATGAAGTTAAAAACAATGGATGTCCAAAGGCAGTACAGAGATACAGAGTTCGGCGACAATTCAGCCATGAACACGCTCAGGGGTCTGAACAGCCTATTTCTGTTCCTATGTTCATCTTGCACACTTTACCTCATGTTAATTGCCAGTGGGTTTCCTTGATCTCCTTGTAATGGTGAAGTCACCCCATTCCTTGGCTTGTGACTCAGCTTTGTGTAGTTGTCCTTTGGGTATTGGGTCTAGTCCACATGCACAAATCAAGGAGAAGGTGATTGCTGGACTGTTAATCCAGAGACCCAGATAATGTTCTGGGGACCCAGGTTAGAATCCCGCAATGGCAGATGATGGAATTTGTATTCAATAAATATCTGGAATTAACGGCCTAATGATGACCATGAATCCATTGCTGATTGTTGGAAAATCCAATCTGGTTCAGTAATGTCCTTTAGGGAAGGAAACTGCCATCCTTACCTGGTCTGGCCTACATATGACTCCAGACCCACAGCAATGTGGTTAACTCTCACCTGCCCTCTAGGCAATTAGGGATGGGCAATAAATGCTGCCTAGCCAGCGACACCCTCATCCCGTGAATGAATAAAGAAAAAAAATTTCAACTGATCAATCTAACTTGAGCTGTTGCTTCTACCTTGGATGCAGGGTCCTCTTTCTGTCCTCTGTATTAAGACGTGATTGAATCAATCTTTCTTTGAACAAAAAAAAGTCACTGACTCACTCTTCTTGATGTCTACTCCAAAATGTAGAATGGTTCCTTTAGTTTTCTTTCCCTGTTTCTTCAGTAAAGATGGTCTATATTCAGACTTTTATTTGCTGCAACCTTTATTTTCCATAACTGCTTTTGCAAGAAATCATGTTCTTGAATTAGAATTTATTTCTGATGGTCGTGTGATGTTCCAAGTTTCAAATCTTCCCCAAAACCCCAACCTTAATGAATACGCCCTCGCACTGTACACAGGACATCCAAGTGCTCAGAAAGAAAGAAGCTAATGAAAGTCCATCCCAAACTGGAATGATGACTCATGACCAAAAGCACATTCTGGATTTCTCCTGAGAACTAAGTGATATGAACACCAACCATTTGCAGTGAATTCTTTGCATACCTGGCCCACTAAGATTTTATGAAGCATCTCATTTATTAAGGAAGATGTCTTTCACAGACTAAAGGACTTTCCACTGCCATGTTTATTATGACAGTGTTCATACCTTTCCACATCTTTTAATTTTAAGTTTATCAAATTCCACCTCTCACCCCCATTCTCACTTAGGATGTTAGTGGTGTTCCTAGTCTGGCCCCTGTTCACTTCTCCTTTAGTAAATATAAGCAAATTGTGAGCACGTTATCAGGCTAGTTAAATCTAGTTGCTATGCCTAAGAAATACAGAACTTTCCTCACTTCCAAATCTTCAAGTTCAATGTTCTAACTACTTTGCAGCCCATAATAGTTTCTCATTAAGAAGTGACTACAATGATGTAGAAGAGATCAATGATAGTGTGATACAAATTTAATCTATAACTCCTGCATACTTTAGTAGGATTTTAAATCTACTAAGTGGACGGAAACCTGAATGTAGTTTTAAAACAAATCACTGTTTTCATTTAGCTTCCAATTCCTTTTATGACATTACTATCATCAAAATATTAAACAAGTAATTAGATCTCATTAAACGTACAATATTGTCCAGCTTGGGCAAGTTATAAATGCACTAACTTCCCAAAATACAATTGTCTTGTGGTGTTCCAAATTCCTTTTCATTCAAGCCTTTTTCATGTCCTCAAGTGCAATGCTAAAAGAATGTGCAGAAATGGTATGTCCCTGCTATTTTACACAATTACTATCCTTTGAATAGTTTGTCATCCCAAACTTGAAGCACATATAACGCACAAACTCTAACATTAATCCTTATTGTTTAGGGAATCCAGTTAATATTTTAATTAATCTACTCCACACATACAGTGGATGTGCATCCACTGTTCAATGCAACATAACTGAATGAGTCTGCAACTAAAATATTTGTTACCCAAGTGAAGCTTCTTTTGACCAGAACAATTCCTTAGGCTTGTTTAGTATTACCATTACCTTCTCTTTCTCAACCTGTGTCATACATCATATTGAAAGCTTTGTTATTTTACTTAAGACAATTAATTGTGTGAAATTTAGGGTCACAGCTAAAACTTCAGTTGACATTTCCTAGGTATTCTTGGGACTTGATTCTTCTCCTTTAGTTCCCAATTCCTGTCAATTATCAAGTGTCTATCCTCAATCCTATTGATGATACTTCTGTAAAATGGATGCTTTCAGCTTGTGTGGGCTGTTTAATCGCTGCTACAAGGAATCCTTTAATTTTGTCCTACAGCCGAATGTCACATTTGTACCTTAAATATCAAGAAATGAATATTTTCCAAGGAAATTCTTAAGCCTTCCAAACAATATTCCTTTCTGAAAATCTAACCAGTTAAATGCTAGTAACATATCTGCTTGACACCTTAGCATAGTTCAGCAACTTAAAGGCAAGCACCAAATTAGGAATCTCTAAGTAGAATTTTGGGATTTTGCATACAGTCTATACAAATTAGTCAAAATCTGTTCTACTTTCTATATTTATCAAGTCTGACCATGTGTCACATGTATTTAATAGTTCATCTTTCTTTTCATTTGTCAAAAAGTTTCAAGGGAATTTCCAGAGCTTCCTCAATGTCCAATCATTGGGTCTGTAGCTCAATACTTCATAACTGATTTCAATCCTAGTCAGAAGAGATAGTCCTGACTCCATACCTCCTTTCTTTTTGGAGAAGATTTAATTTGTATCCAAGTAATTTTTCCCTTGATCATAAAGTTCAACTTCATGAAACATCAGATTTCATATTCTGACACTGTACACTGTCTCAATTTTCTTCAAAATAATACCAGTTACAATTTTTTTTAAACTGAAAGCATCTTAGTTTCCGATCTTTACTTTTAGGCAACCATCCACTGGGGTCGCTTAATAGATTC